AAGAGCTGTTCTTCTGTTCCTTCCCAGATTCCTGCCAGCTCAGCTACTCCGAAGGCCCCTGCCTGGGGATGATAGAGAAGTATTACTACAATGGCGCTTCCATGGCCTGTGAGACCTTCCATTATGGGGGCTGCCTGGGCAATGGCAACAACTTCAACTCTGAGAAGGAGTGTCTGCAGACGTGCCGGACCGTAGGTAGGTGCATTTCGTCTCTGCACCCTCCTCCCCTCATTCTCTTATATTTTTGGTTGTGAGCCTAGCCTTTAACGGCTGAGCCATCTCTCCAGCCCTCCTCCCCTCATTCTCATGGTGCCACAGGCCACCTGACCATGAGCCCCAGTTAAGGTTTCTCAGGGTGGAATCCAGGGGAAGCTGCTCATAGGATCTAGATGCAGGTGGCCTAGGTCAGTCACGTCCCCACGCAGCACCCCATTCTGTAAAAGGACCACATGCTCTAGACGTTCAGGGCTCTCTGTCCCTGTCTCGGTAGTCCTGCCCAGCTGCAAGGGTGACTAACACTCCGCGTCCCGCTCTCTTCCACAGCGGCCTGCAGTCTCCCCATAGTCCAAGGTCCCTGCCGTGCCTACGTCGAGCTCTGGGCATTCGATGCAGCACAAGGGAAATGCGTCCAGTTCAGTTATGGCGGCTGCAAAGGCAACGGCAACAAGTTCTACTCCGAGAAGGAGTGCAAGGAGTACTGTGGCGTTCCTGGTGACGGTAAGAGGCCCCGGCCGTCCAGGGAGGCTGGGAGGGGAGTCCTGCTAAGACATGGTGGCTGGAGAGTCCAACGATGGATTTTTTCCCAGGTGAGCAGCCTGGTCCACGCTCTGGGCCTTAGCTTCTCACCTGGGAAATGGGTTAAAGCTAGGACCACGACCTAGGCTGTCCTAGCTGGACCAGAGAAGATGGCTAGGCATCAGCAGAAGGCAGGCAGGGTAGCTGAGGAGCCTGGTGGAGTGAGCCTCCAAGTTTTTCAGGCTAACCACATGGACCGAAGGGCACTCCTTCCCTTGCTTAGTGTCAAACCCAGGCCCTTGTCGCACCTGCTGTGCGGCCTGCATCCGAGAATGTAGCGAGGTGGTTGGGATAGATGACACAGAGACCGGTTGATTGCTTTAAGAAAAACTTTATGCTTCCCAAGTCAGCTTAGGAGGAGACTCCAAGTCCGCTTAGGAGAGAGAAGTCTCTCCAAGAAAAAAACGCTTCCCCTTTTTAAGGACTTCTGCCATCCATCTACATACAATTCTTTCCAGACTTCTCACCCTCCTGGCTGGTGGTTTAATCTCCGGCCCCAGAATCGGGGAGACACAGCAGGGGAACAGGAAGAGGCATCTAGCCGTATGGGGTGTCAAAGTCATGGTGTTTCAGTGAGCCCTTATCTGAGCCCTAGCAAGAGCTTTATAGCACTGACTTGTTTTCAGTAAACATTACACAGCTGCCTGCTCCCAGGCTGAAGGGGAAGTGGGTTTCTGCTCAAGGTCTGGTGTCCCCACAGGCCCTGTCACATGATAGGTGCCATGTGGTTTTGTTTATTTTTAATGCTTTTGTTTTGAGTCAGGGTCTCAGTGAGTTGTTCAGCCTGCCTTGTATTTCCCCAGTAGCCCAGGAAGGCCTTGGTTTATCATTTTCTTGAGTAGCTGTGAATACAAGCCATACCACCAGGCCAGGCTTCAAGGGAAATTAGAAGCTGGCTTCACAGTCTTGTAAAAAGGAACAAAGCACCCACCTCTCCAGCTTCACAGTGCCCACTGTATGGTTAGCGCTCGGCCAGGGGGAGCAGCTCTTAAAAGGACGCTCAGGCTATGATGGCCACTTAACATTCTCAGGGCCTTGCTATTCCCACTGGAAAATGGTACCTACAGTAAGTCAGAAAGCCAGGCTGTCCCATTCATCAGCCTTGGGAGAGAAGTCATTTAGCAAGTGATGTTTCATCCCAGCCCAAGGACCCATCCTGAGTTACTCTGTATCCGCAGGGTATGAGGAGCTCACACGAAGCTGAAGATGCCAGTCTGCAAGCCAGAGGATAGCCACTGTCCATCCCAGTGTGGGCTGGCCCAGGTGGTCTGGGTCCAAATAAAACAAGCTGTCAACTCCTAGCATTCTGTGTGCTGGCATCTCACTGTCACGGTGGTTGTAACCAGGGGGTGGGGGTGTGGCGGCAGGAAGATTAGGGCATGAATAACCCAGCCTTCCCAGGAGAGACAGATGCATGGCTTGCAATGTGACAACTTCCTGTAGAACAAGATCCTGGCTGTGCACCACAATTCTGCAGCAGTGTAGAGTAGGGTTATTTTGTTTTACTTCAACAAACAGAAAAAAAAGAAAGCCCAGGAACTCCAGCACTTGTTTCTAGAAGAGGTTGGATGGGGGCCACAAAAACCCAAGGACAAAGAAATAGTGGTGTCCTGGAGTGCCCAGGTGCCTGAGGCTGTCCCCATCCTTGCCACACCCAATTCCTTTCTAGTAGTTCCCTCCAGCTGCCAGCTTGTCTCACACACATCCCAAATCATCTGGAGCGGTGGTATCTGCTTTTTCTCCACCTTGATCTAGAGTGCCTGTCTCCTGGGGTCCCCACCCTGCCCTGTGCCCTCGTAGATTGTCTACTGGCTTTCCCAGTGCATCTGCAGCAGCCAGCTGGGCCCTGGACCAGAGCTCAAAGCACTGGGTTGGGCTGGATTCTTGCCATGTGGGAAAGAGAGGAGTTGATCTGGCCAAGGTAGCACGAGGACAGGCATGGCCCATGACCATGCCCTGGGGAGCCTCGTGTAATTGGCACTAATTACATCCACCCAGAGCCCCGATGGTGGGCAGATGAGCAGAGGGTGAAGATTCCCAGCTTGATAATACTCTCCAGAGGAAAGCCATCTCTGCAGGAGAAACAAGGGGGTAGTCCCCAGCGTGGAGGGCCAGTTCTGCAAGGGGATTGCTTTTCATGCCTGAGAATTTGCTAGTGTTCTGTCAGCAAGGGAGGATGAGAGTCTAGAACATGCAATAGCTCCCTGAGATACGCACAGATCCTACCTTGTCCTTCAAAGTCTGGAATTTGGGGTTTCTAGTTTCCAACAGAAGAGATTATCTGAAGGGACAGTATTAATGATCACAGCTCTGGTTTGAAGTGGACAGGATAGAAGTTGGTAGGGAGACAGGCAACTGTGTAGAAAGAAGTTTCCGGAAGGTCCCCCAGCTGGGGCTAACAAACATCATCACAATGTATATTCATCCTCATATGCCAGAGACAGCTACCAATGGGAATCTGAGCCACCACTCTGAATTGGGGTGTTTTGGATTGGTCTGGAGCACAAATCTTTAACAGAGGGTAAGGCTCCATATGCTGGCTGGCTCCCATCAGTGGGTGGAATGCCAGGTTCATGGGGTATGCAATTGTATAGTCCTGAATTCCCTATTTCATGAGAACAAGTGTCCTCATGGAAACCTGCTCAGTTCCTGGAGGCTTTGAGATAAGAGCCTTCTGTGTAGCCCAGGCTGGTCTCACATCTCTGAATAAGAGCCTTCTGTGTAGCCCAGGTTGGCCTCACATCTATTTGCTCTGCCTCTACCTGTCCAGTGTTGGGAACAGAGGTGTGTGCCACCACACCCTGGGAAGACACCAGGGCTAGGAGCTGTGTCCTAAGGTTATGTTACCTGGGCTCACTTGTCCTACCTCCAATTTTCTGTGACAGTGTATGCTCTCTCAGGACAGGCTTCCCCTGGGCTTGCTTTAAACAAACAATAGTGTACCCCAACAACACAATTATCCCTCTGGTAGAATGGTGGTGAGGCCTGCCTGTATACAACCTAGTGCCAGGAATCCACACCACTCACCCCAAAAGGGACCAAGATTCATTCCCTCCCAGGAGGCCCCTACCCTGAAGAGGCACGCAGCACATCCGGTCTTGCTGTGGGGTTTTTGATAATTACTAGTCAGGGTTACTTGCTATGGTATGGGTGCAGCTGCTTAACAACCGCCTTCTTAATGATCATACAACCCAGAGGTTAGCCCTTTGTGGTGAGGCTCACAGGCCACAATCTGGCATTATTTGACCCCCAAGGTCAAGGCAATTCAGAAAAATCTGTGGATGCCACCAACTTCCCGATAGCTTCAGTTGTGGAGAAACTTCTTCACCAACTTTACCTGCTGGCACACAGATACCCATAGTTCCTGTGTAGAAGCTTCCTTGGGGCATGCCTGCAGGGCAGAGCTGTTGCCCTCTGGGAAGGGGCCAAGTATAGAGATGACAACTGCCCATAATTTGATAGGATTTTTTTCCAGAAGACTCAAGTGACTCAGCTTCTGAGAGTGGGGTTACCCACTCTAAGTCAGAGACATGGGTGGAGCCTGATGTGGGGGGTTGCTTTACTTACCTGGAGACCAAGAAGGCAACCTTCCTGCACTGGGCTCCCTTGAGGAGTTTTCTGCCTCCCCTCTACACAGGCCTCGGTTCATTTTCTGGTGGGATCTTTTCTCACTCAACTTTGGATCTATAGAAGAGAAGCATGAATGTTCTCGACTGTGACATCGGGGCCAGAGTTGTGGGAGCCCACTGTGTACTTAGAGCTCCAACGCTATCAAGACTGGGCTAGTCTTCCCCAGGAAATGAACGGTAGAGATGGCAGACGTCAACACACATGCACTGCAGCTGTATTAAAGGCACAAGAGCCTCACGGATGGCTCTGGGTTCCTCTTTGATTTGTGCCTTACATACTGAACCAGCAGGACCAATTAAATCCTTCCCATACTCTGAGACAAACCTCTACAAGCCAGCCCACAGCAGACCAAGGTCTCCTTGGATACCGTTACCCACATGCATCAAACAGTGGCTGAGCCAGGTCTATGCTGTGACAAGCAATGACCCTTAGTTTAAGAGTGGGCAAGTGTGACCTCAGAGTATGACAGGCTGAGGCCACCTGGGTGCCTGACTTCTGTCCTCCTCACCCATGCCTGTGCAAAGCGGGCAGCATGGCCCAACTCCAACCCTAAGAAAGGCATCACACACCGGAGGTTCCTAAAGGTTGTTTTATTGTAAAACCATGAATACAGCACTGACATGAACTTGTGAACGCACTTAGACGACTGATCCTCTAGTTGTTGGAAGGATCTCTTTTTGCCTTGGCAACAACCAACTGGGAAATGGTTTGGGGGTCGGGGAGGAACCGAATCTTGGGCTGGGGCTTTTGGTGACTTAAGGAACCCAGTGGAACCTTCCTCTTCTCCATTGGAGCATTCCACTTTTGAACAAGAACAAGACAGGTAAAAACAGCAACATTGAAACAGCTCAGTTTTAAATTTTATTACTTTGTAAAAATCTTTTTTTATTTTTCTGTTCCTTTCCTCCATTTAACATCAGTAAATTTTTAAACATCATGAAACCAATTTAGCTGTAAAATGGAGAAATGGTATCCAAACCAAAAACAAAACACCCCAAAGGGCACACAGAAAACCCTAAATAAACCCACAAGTTTGGCCTTGGGAGTTTATCACAAGAACTGGCGACTCAACCCCCATGCAATGTGGCTCCTTGAAGGGCTGCTGTACCCACACCATTGATACAGGAGGCCACCGACAACATGTGACACTAGGTAACTTTTTTTTTTAAAATACAGTACATGGTACACAGGGTCCCTAAGATAGCCCTGCATAAACCCCCGTGAAGAGTTGAGCCAAGCACTGGCTGTTTATAAAAATATTATGTTGCTACAAAAGTATAAATTAATGCTACTGGTATTAAGAAATATTAAACACATAAAACTTATAAGGATTAAGAAAAATACTCATTAATACCTGTAGAAAACTCTGGCCTAAAAAAGATATTTTTTTGTGTGTGTGTTTGCTTTTTTTGTAAATTTTTTTGTGTTTTTAATTTTTTTTAAAGATGACTTGAGTTTCTTGCACTCGAAGCGAGACACGGATGTGTCTATGGTATTGCCTAGAACGTCTTTACTACTGAGACAGGATGGGGGGCGCACACATGTGGTCACTGAGTAGGGGGGGCAGGAGGGATGGGGGCACCAAGGCTTTCTCAAGATTTACCTGATGTGAACTGATCACCCACACGAAGTTGTGGGGAAAAGAAAAAGACAGGATCAGGAGACAACTGAAAATAACTCATGCCTCTTAAAAAATATCTCTGCTCCAGGGTGTTCTACAAAATGGTTTCCTGATGCTTAGGGTCTGGAAGGCCCTGTCACATGACTCTTGCTCTTTGCCAGCTGGCCAGACCCAGCCTACATCAGGTCACAAGCTTGAGCCCTGCTGGGTGGGAGAAGGGTCCTGAGAGCCTGCAGACACCTGGGTTGTGGGAGGAGCCCTCCTTCCAGGCGGCCTGCAGATTCAGGCTCCTAAGAACAAGGCTGGGCTCTGCCCTTTAAGGAACTTTGGTTCAAAGAGTCAAGGTGCCTAATGGGAGGCTTGGGTGGGTAGGACCTTGGTGAGCCTTGATGCCGATGCCAACCCCAAGCCTAGAGATTTTTCCCATCTGGGAGTGGAGACTCAAATGCACCATCCTCTTCCACATGAGGCCTATATCTGCTCAGAGACCACAGGTTCCCTTTGGTCAAAGTCAGGGCTCTCTAGACTGCCGTCCTCGGACCCAAATGAGACAGGAAGGAAAACAACCACAGCCATAAAATCCCCCTGGAGGCCCCAAAAAAGGGGAGATGGGAGGGGAACACAAGAGGAAACCCTGCATCATTGGTTCGCCATAACTGGCCTAGCAAACATTAGCCACAGTGAAAGGGAGGGGCGACCTCCTCGCCCGATCTCCCACTGCCCTGGAGACAGGAGCTCCTGTGCCCTGTCTCCAGGGCATAGCCTGAGCCTCAGTCTCTTGGTTCTGCCCCCCAGAAGCCTTCCTCTAGATATATTCCAGACACAATAGTGCCAGACCGCTGCCAAGGCCAGGAAGCTAGATGCTTGGCACAGCTTATGGGGTAAGGAGTTTCCTGTGAGTTCTTCTTCAAGCATGACGTGGCAACGTCTGGGGTGGCATCTCACAGGGTTTCCCTTCACATACATCCCAGCTTTGATCCTTCCTGGTGGCCCTGTGTCTTCAGAGTGAGTATGTATGGTGCCCAGACTCTCCTCAGGTGTCCCCCTCCTTGGGCAATGTAGCCTGAGGCCAGAAGTGGGCTCCAAAGGCAGATTCAGCTTCACAGTGGAAAACACTCCTTGTAGAATTCTTCCATTTCTTCAAAGTGCAGGAGATAAAACTTGTCAAACTGAAAGGAAGACCGTGGGCCAGCCTACACAGCCGGTGGCAGGTCCTTCCTAGAAACCTGGAGCGGAGTTCCCATCACATCACCAGCTGTTCTTCTCACCAGGAAATGGGTACCTTTGCCTCAGCCAAGAGCCAGCCCCACAACACTGGCCAAATGTGAAGCCATCAAGTGGGATGCTGACATCATTCTCGCTGAGGCCCCCTAGGGACGAAGGGCAGACAGCTGTGCTCAGAAAGCACCAGCCTTGCCCCTGGGTGCTGAATGCCACGCAAAGGCAGCCTGGCAGGTAGACCTGGGTTCTGGGAACAGAGCCATGCTGAGAACAAGTACTTCCGTGGGCAACCACTCCTCACAGACCTGAGACCTTTTGAGTGTTGAATCCCAGGCAAACAAGCCACAGACCTTGGCTTGGGCTTCACTGGTGAAACAAAGCGACCTCAGATTCACAGAGAGCCTTGCTAACGAAGCACATCTTCTCTACTTCCATTTGGGTTCACGGATGTCAAAGCAAAGACCATTTTTGGTCAGGTAGTCATACAGCTTGAGGTAAGCCGTGAGAACAGGATAGAAATGGCCCAGCTTCCTGGTCTCCCAGCCTCCACAAGCCTATGAATCAGGAGGCAGATGACGAAACCATTCTGAAGGTCAAGGCCAGCCCAGGCCATTGGAGATGAACTGGAAGAGCCTATCTTAGTGCTTTGGCTGAACTAGAATTTGGTAAGGTGGATACTGCTGCTGATGGGGCCTGCGGCTGCACCTGGGAGATCTTTGGGATTTATTGAGCTATGTGTTGCAGGATGTGCGCTGTGAGATGGCCCACAAAACAGTGGACACCGGGCACAGTCTTTCAGGTTGGTGACACTAGTAAGAAATGATTGACAGCCTGCCACCTAGTAATCCTTGAGAATGAGGCAGCCTGAGAGACAGGTTTCTGAGGACTAAGCGGGACTCGCATTGAACCTACAGAGGCTATCTAAGCCCAAGGGTAGATTCAAGGTGCCAGTGAACTTGGTAGGAGGTGATGACCTATGACCAGACGCCTGGAGTTTAACACTAAATTTTTTTTTCTGGAGGGCGAATGCTCCATGTTCCGAAAAGAATGCCTGAAATGCACATCTGGGCATGGCTGACGATTAGCAAATAACAGCAGCTCTGCCTGAGGCTCTGTTCTCACTGACTAATAAGCTTCCAGTGTGGCTACAAGTGCCAGGTGTGGCCCCTTTCCCAACAGCTGAGAGAGACTGGAGGCATCCATCATTAGCTATCCAGAGCCCACCTCCTGGAATGGCCCCTGGCAGTCTGAAGACACTCCTACATTCTTCAGCTCTAGTCTGGATTTCTCCACTGTGGGCAGAGGTTTCTCTGATGGTTAGACCCAAGTTGAAGACATTGTGATGAAATCACCTAGAACTTTCCCTGGAGTAGACTGTTATGTACGGTGGTTCCTGAGAACATAGCTTGCCAGAGCGAATGTGGAAACAGCCTTCTCCGGTCTGTTTGTATATCTGACTCTGTGGGAGAGCTCATCTAGTCTTGTGTGTGAGGCAGACTCCAGGCTGAATCCTCAAGGACAGTGCTCTGGGACCTGGAGCACAACCGGGAGCCTTCGAGTCTTTAAACCCATCTTCACGCCCCTCCTGCGGGGGCACCTGGGGCCAGAGCTGTGGGTACAGTGCTTCTGAAGTCGAGGTATCTTTCAGTTGGGGAAGGGGGGGCAGTCCAAGCCCAGGATGTAGAGGTGCTTTTGCAAGTAGCCCACAGAGGTGGCCATCCTTAGTCTGATGTGTACGCCTCTCCATCCCACAGTTGCGGTCACCGGAGGATCAGGGACACCGAGGTCTTTATTTATGGGGTGGCTATGCTCATCATCCCGTGAAGAGAATGGGGTCCCCTCTTGGCATTTGGACTGTGTGGAGAAGCACTAGCTCCTGGCCAGGGGGATCAGAAGCAAGGGCTAACAATCCCTTTCACAGCATTGAGTCAAACACATCCACCCACAGGATGTCACCCATTGAACAGCAACACGCCGTGTCCCACCACGGCCCTGACTGCAGGTCTGAGGTGCCTGTGGGGACCTCTGAGGGCTATAAACTCCCAGAAGCCCTGAGGTCTGGGGAGGGAGGAAGGGAGGGAGACTGTGGTTCTGGCAGACACAAATGTGGGGTAGGTCACAGTCCCTGCAGAGCTGGGGGTCAGACGTGGTGAGCAGTATGAAGGACTCTGAAGGTGGACATTCACACTTCCACAGGCAGGGGCCAGGCAGCGGCTCTCTCGTTGACATTCAGGACCCCTAAAGCCACATGCTGCCCACCATGGCTTCCACCATACCTCACAGCCAAGGAACCACGACTCCTCTCAACTCCCTACTCCAGACACACAGCCACGTCCTTGGTCTTTGTTGTGTGAGTCCTGAACACGGCCACTGAGATGAGCTAGTTTACAGTGTGACTTGAGAACAAAAAGGACAAGTAAAACGAAACAAAACTCCAGAACATAAGTTACACATTCAGTGCCTCCCAGGAGAGCCTAAACCAAATGTGAAAAGAAGCTGAATCCCCCAAAAGATAAAAGGTTGCTAAAGCATTGGAGTGACAAACAACAAACAAACAAACAAACCCAAAGAAACCTTGAGTGTAGAGTCAGCTATACATCTCTGCAAAAAGATGTCTTTTTTTCTCTCTCTTATATTAAAAAGTAAAACATCAGCTTTATATTTTAAAGTCTCCTTTCCTGATCTGGGGAGATAGATAGTGTGTATTCTAAGGCAGCTGCCCCAGACATCCGAGAGGGAGGTCACAGGTACAGCAGCTTAATGCCCTGAAGGTGAAACAAGAAACTAAGTCCAGTGCAGAAACTGTCCATCTGATGCAGTTTGGAGAATCTGTCAGAGCAGCTGGGGCAGAGCATGGGCACCGTGGCTTGAAGGGATGGAGGATGGAAAGGAAGGGCTGGGGTTGGGATTGGGAGTTCCAGCCACTTCAGCCCTCAGCTGCCTGAGTATTTTACAATCTCAGCTTCTCTCACTCTGCACACCTGAAAACGGAGTCCTTAGAGCCCCTGCCCGAGGAAAGTGAAACCATCCCGCTTTCCCAGTCTCTCGGCTTTCCTGACACACCCAGCTCAATGCACACACGCCTGAGGACGGGCATGCATACTTGCACCAGGTTTGTGTGTAACTGTGTGTGTGTATGCACGCATGTGTGAGTGCATGTGCACTTGTGGAGCTTCTCTGGATGTGCATTCAAGCATGAGCTCCGCATACCCTTTACCCATATAATGTCACATGTGTGGGTGTGGACACATGTGCACACACACTCACACACACACACACACACACTGAAAAAAAAGCACTTAAGTTTCCAGGGGGCATTTACAATGAGGTTCCACAGTGTTTAGAACTTAAATTTCTTTGTGACAGTGTTGTGTGTGTGTTTTCCTAACGTCTTTCTTCTTTTTGTCTTTTTTGTTTTTCCCCAAAGTTGAGTCTTAAAGCATGTTGGATTTCAAAAACATGAGCTTGTTCATGTCTTCTGGACTAAGCAGTCGCCTCCTTTTGATCAGAAGTGCTTGTTCACACATATTTACACACCCGCTTCGAGCCCCCACAGCAGGAACAGCCAGGAGCCAGAAGGCGAGCTTGGCGAGTTTCGTGTGCTTTTGGGTCACGCACGACCAGTACTGGAAGAGGTCGGGAGTAGCTTGGAAGAGGGGCTCCTGAAGGTAGTCATACACTTCGTTCTTGCCCAGCCGGTCATCCTCCTGAGCTGCCGGGTGCTCCCCAGTGGCTGAGCGTGCCTTCTTGGCGGCAGGCTCAAAGTCAGCCTCCTCAGCCCAGGACTCCTTCACCTCATTGATGAGCTCACACACCTTGCTGATGATCTCCTCATGCTGGTAGGGGGGCACCGGCCGCAGTTTCTGCTGAGGATCCAGGATCATGGCCACCTTGTGGGCTGGGTGCACCTTGAAGTTCTCCTTGAGTGCTTCTAGAAAGAGATGGCACAGTTTGCTGACAGTGCCTGCGTCGTTGGCTTTGGCTGTGAACAGCTTCTCTAGCCGGACATAGGTGGGCAGCACCAGCTGCAGGGTGGGCTGGCTCTCGTTGCTGAGCTCGATGACCGCCTGCTTCACAGGTGTCAGGATGGCGGCCAGGTTGCTCAGCAAGTGCTTGTTGAGGCTCTGAATGAGGTTCATTTTCTTGGCACGGCTGTAGAACTCACAGATCTGCTCATAGCGCTCGTGCACCAGGAGCAGCGAGTCTGTCACTGAGTTCCAGCAGGGTGGGGGTGACGTCTCCTCCAGAGAGCCGAAGGTCTCCTTGGCCAGGCCCGTAGAGCCTGCTAGGTCCTCACACACATTGAGCAGCTCGATGACCTCATGCATGCTGCGGGCCTGCAGTGTTCGCTTGCTCAGCACACTCTGCACCACCGAGTTCAAGGCACAGGCTGAGCAGCGGAGGCACATGCCAGCCTTGGAGAAGGCGGACGTGCTCACCCGGCAGTCCGTTACATACACGGTCCGGATCTCCGACATCACAAACTCTGACAGCACGTTCTGCACCCAGTGATGCACCAGGTCACCGCTGTCACGGATGTCCGCACCCTTCACACCTAGCACGTAACTCTTGATGTGGTTGCCCTCGGCCTGGTAGGCTGTGAGGATGTAGCAGGAGTCGGGGCCCACACTCTGGGAGTGGCAAGTGACGCCGATGCCCAGGCAGGCATTGCTGCCCAGGGCACACGTCACCTTCACCTTCACCTGGTTGTACATGCGGGGCAGGTGCTTCAGTGCTAGCGTGTTGAAGTTGCCCAGGATCTCGGTGACTGAGAAGGCCCCGTAGCGGGCGCCGCTGTCTACCAGGGTTTGCGCCAACTTGAGGAACTCCTTCCCACTGACCACGCTCAGGGCACCCAGGTCGGCGCACATGACCCGCAGTAGCCGTTCCGCAATGTTCTGCCGCTCCTTCTCGGGTATTACACTGTTGGGTGTCAAACCACTGGCTGTGGCTGGCGGGGGACACACACACACACAGAGAGGGAGAGGGAGAGAGAGAGAGAGAGAGAGAGAGAGAGAGAGAGAGAGAGAGAGAGAGAGAGAGAGAGAGAGAGAGAGAGAGAGAGAGAAAGAATCACTTTTGACATTCAAAGGTGCTTAACCTGGCAGCAGCAATACCTAAAGGGCTACTATGAAGAATAACAAATAGATTTTTGTCTTTCATACAAATTGGTGAGGTCTGCTTTTATCAGCATAGGGATAAAGTTCTATGATTGATTAATAATGCCTGCCATGGGTATGACAATCGTAGACAGTGACATGTGTGTAACATACTTGCCACACACACCAAACACCTAAACCTCTGAATACAACTCTTTTCCTCAACAGGAATTACATAGGAATCTTAGAGTGAGTAACATGTTTTATGGCCAGGGTCACGAAAAGAGCTTACGAAAACCGTGAAAATGTGGGGCTCTAGCTGTGAGTCTGGCTTTGGGCACACACGTGCCCGCCCTTGCCTCCCTTTGCCTCCCCACACGTTGAGGATCCCCGCCCGAGTCCTAAGCACGAGTAGGCTTTGGAGGCGAGTGCATCATCTCCAGCCCCACAGGAGGTGCAGACGCCAACCATGGGGCACAGGACATGGCTGCAGGCCTCCAGGAGCCCCGGCTCCAGCATGCTGAGACCTACTGTTGTTGGCGCTGTTCCTCTGGGCCTGCGGCTTCCACTTTTCCTCCACGGCAGCAGGTGGAGATCGGGACTGGTTGGAGGTGACGTTGTTTTCGTTGTCAGCTGCAGGCACAACAGGAATAATGGGTCACGTTAAAGGGTGAGAGGAAGCTGAAGAGTAATACAGGAACATGTGTATGGGGGGGCAAGGGTGACAACACATGACCACAGGGAGTTGAGTTCAGGCTTCTCAGAGACTGTCTAGTCTTTCAAAGCCTCCTCTGCTCACTCTGGAAGCTGAGGCCAGTGGTGGCATGGCTACCACACAACTTCAGGAAGGACTATGGAGAGGACAGGGAAGAGGCAAGGACACAGAGGACCCTTAGAGAGGACATGAGACCTCTGGGTGTGCTATACCCACCACAGCCACAAAGCGCAGCTCTGAAGTGAGTGTGCGCTTAAGTGCTCTAAAGCGTCTCACGCTCTCTTACTTCTTCAAAGCGTGAGGATGTATTTCCAGTGTGCGACTGCATTAGACAAACTGTATTAAATGGGCGCCCCACCCCTACTTAACATGCTAAGAAGCACAGAAGTGTTCCACTGGACATGGAGACAAGGCTCAGAATTAAAACAGGTTTGCTCAGGGCCACACAGAGTGGCAGCAGGATGGTTACAAACACATTTCAATGATGAGGACCGGCAGAATCCAGGCCTCTGAAACCAAATCTGCCACGGACTAAGGGCTGCCCCATCCCTGCTCTCACATCCTCAGAGTGAGCTTCAAAGGTGGAACGGCTGGGTCAGAGAGATGGTGCAGTGGTTAAGAGTGCTTGTTCTCCCAGAGAATCCAAGTCTGGTTCCCAGGACTCAGTCAGGCAGCTACAACTGCTGTAACTCCAGCTCCTGGGGATCTGACACTGTCTTCTCACCTCTGTGGGCACCTGAATTAACACGGCATATACACTTGCAGACACATACATGTACACACAGATTTCTTAAAAAAAAAACAATCTTGAAGAAGTACAAAGCCTTGGGAAGACAAATTACACTCTTCGTGGAAACACAGCAGATCCGGCACTCACGTCCTGTCCAGTTCTAAGTATCCAATACAGAAAAGTACAACCTACAGCTGGACAACCAAAGAACCCAGCATGGTACAAAGGATAGAATTAGCCGATCAGGCCTCAAGAATAGCAGTTGTAAACATCATAAATACATTCAAGATCATGAGCTAAATGTACATTTTTCCACCAGCATTAAGCCACAGACTAACTGAAATAGAATTAATGTGTTAAAAGTGTGTGTGAGGCCAGCAAGACGACTCAGCTGGTGAAAGTGCTGTCCACATGGCCCAGATTGAGTTCCGCACCTAGAGCCCGCGTGACGGAATGAGAGAACTGAGAGGCAGGCTGGCCTCTGACCTCTCGTGCGCATGCCCCTCACCCCCCACAATAGATAATGTGAGGGAAAGAGGGGGAGGGACAAAGTGGGTTGGGGAGGAGAGGGAAGAGCAAAGAGCACAGGAGATGAATAGCACACAAGCATCAAAATTACATCAAATACAAAGTCTCCAAATGGTAAAGACAGAAACTCTTAATTATTAAAACTCAATAATAAGTGCTGTTTAAGACATCTACTGAAATGTAGAGCTAGAGATAGCTGAAACATAAAAGGTTAAATGAAGACATGCCAGGCAATAAAAGGAAGGCGGAACACGGGAGACACATTGTAACATTAGGTAATCAGACCGGAGCAAACGTTGCCAGGGATAACAAGAGAATCTGCATGATGACAAAGTGGCCAATTGACCCGGAATATACAAGTCTAAAACCACACATAGCTTTAAAAACAAAAGTGAAAACTGAATTGACACAAATGGACGAACTACTACCAGAGATCTGACATATTTCTCTTAGCAACTGTTACCGAGCATAACAGTGTTGGGGACGAGCACACGTGGGCTGAGCAGACAACAGGAAGTCTACCTGCAGGCTGGAGAGACAGCTCGGTGGTTAAGCATACACACTGATCTCCCAGAAAGCCTGCGCATATTCCATAGTCTCACACTCTGTAATTCCACCTCCAAGAGACCTAATGGTCTCCTCTGGTCTCCACAGGTACCTCACACACATGTGCAATTCACTCACCCAGACACATAACACATAAAACATAAATAAGATTTTTTTAAAGAGGTCTAATAATAAGTAACTTGAGCCAAAGGTAAGGAGATGAAATAATTAAGCAGAAGCATAAAATGAATGAAATAGAAAATGGATAAGCATAAAGAGCAAAACCGGTGAAAACAAAAGCCATTTCTCTATAAAGATCAATACAATTGATGAGCCTCTCATCCGAGGATACAGATCATTAGGATCAAGAATGAAAAGGAGTCATCACTACAGAGCCCACGGATGGCAAAGGAGCTAAAAGTAGTAACTATGAACTTTGGGCCAATGAATTCAACAAGTCAGGCAAGATAAACACCTCAAAGCCACAAAGAAACAAAGTTCATCCCAGAAGAAATTGATAACTTGAAATCATGTGTTCATTAAAGAAACAGCTCAAAGCTAAGTAATTTCCCATAAAGAAACCTCCCGACCCTTAAAGGTTCATCGGTTGATTTTATAAAAAACAAAAAACAAAAACAAAAAAAAACAACTTAGTAATAATATAAATTCTAACAAATTATTCTCTAAAACATGGGTAGTAAGACTATCCCACAATTCATTTTATGAGACTATTACTGCTGTCATTTGTATTTTTGATGATAGCTTTCTGACTGGAGATGGAATCTTTTAATTCAACATTAAAAAGTATTCTATGTGCATGCATGCTTTACCTGCATGCAAGTCTGGGTAGCACATGCAAGCCTAGTATCTGTGGAGACTGGAAGAGGGTCTCCTTGGATCCCCTTGAACTAGAGTTACAGATGATTTTAAGCTGTCATGTGGGAGCTGGGAATTGAACCTGCGTCCTCTGCAAGAGCAGCCAGTGCTTTTACTCACTGAGCCAGCTCTCCAGCCCCACGATACGAAATCTTACAGTAGCTTTAACCTGCATTTCCCTGAACACTAAGGATGTTATACACTGTCAAGGTTTTATTAGCCATCTGTATTTCTTCTTTTTGAGAACTCTGCTTAATTCTACAAACCCCCTTTTAATGGCTTGTTTCCTTCATGTTTATTTTCTTAGTTCTTTCTAGACACTAATCCTCTGCTCAATATACAGACACAATGTTTTTCTTCCATTTTGCAGGCTGCCTCTTTTCTGATAGACTCCTTTGCTGTACAGATGCTTTCTAGTTTCAGGAGATCCCATTTATCCACTGTTAGTTGTATTCCCTATGCTTCTGTGAGTCCTAGTCAGAAGGTGTCTATTGAAGCATACTCCCTACTTCCTTCTCTGGCAGCTTCAGAGTATCCATTCTTATGCTGAGGTCACTGAATTGAGTTTTGTGCAAGATGAGAAATTGGGATCCAGTTTTGCTGTAAAACCAGAAGAGACATTTTGGAAATCTTGTTTCTCAAATGAATGAACAAACAAAAAACTAGAAATCAAACTACCTGGTATATTTTCCCTGGGCATAAGCCCAAAAGAACTTGTATCACACCACAGAGATACTTGGATATCCATTTTCACTGCTGTTTGAGTCACAATTGCAAGGAAATGAAAGCAGCCTAGACGTCCATCAACTGATGAATGGATAATGAAAAATGTGGTACAGATACACCTTGGAATTTCATCCAACTATAAAAAATTAAATTATGATGTTTTCGGGTAAATGACTGGAACTGGAAAGAAAATTCTACTTGAATGAGAAAACCCAGACCAGAAGAAATGCTACACAGTCTGTTTCAAATGCCTATTCCAGCTTCCACACTTTAGCTTAAACTGGAAGCCTGGAGACTAGAAGGAGGAAATTGGGATATGGGAGTTCCTTTTAAAGGATTGGGAGGGGGCAGGTGGTGGTGGCGCAAGCCTTTAATCCCAGGATTTGGGAGGCAGAAGCAGGCAGATCTCTTTGAGTTCAAGGCCAGCCTGGTTTATAGAGTGAGTTACAGAAGAGTCAAGGCTACACACACAGAAACCTCTTGAAAAAAAGGAGGGGAGGGCCAGAACACAGGAGAGAGAGAGACAACCCCAGGGGTAGAAATGTTTAAGTGGGGTGGGGGAGTGGGGGTCAGGGAGAGAGGGTGGGGGAAGGTTAGCCCAAACAGAGGCACCATGAAAATGTCCTAAGAAAATTTACTATTTTGTAATCCAATTTAAAAATATAAAAGCAAGATTAATGACAGACACCCATCATGGCTTGATGATGCTTCTCCTAGAAGCAGTGAGTCACCATACAAAATTCAAGGTGCCAGGTGTTGGGTACCTTCCAAAGGGTTCGTCAGGCTCTTGTCAGTCTTCTTGGATGCCATTCAAAACAGAGTGTAGCACCCTGTGGTTTGAAGTTTGTGAAGTCTGACACCCTTCCGCTTCCAGGCATTTCAGGAGAGGGATACTCAGCCTGTACCTCCAATAGGTGATGGAGTAATCGGCACCCGTCAGGCTGGATCTCAAATGTACCACAGTCTGCGAATACATCACCCCTGTAACCCTCGTCCTGGGGAGGAAAGGCCTGATAAACTTTTACAGTGGGAACCAGGGAGTTCTGAACCCTGGAGTGGCTAAAGGCATCAGAAATCAGGTGGCCACCTCCGGAGTCTAAAACACAGACTTGATTTATTCTCTGGAGTCTCCTGGTGTCTCTTAGCTGTGCTTTCCAGCCCTCCTGGTGAGGTCCGCAAGGGCTGAGCTCCGAGGGGCCAGGCCCACTCACTCCACCAGGACAGACCACAGCTTCAGTATGGATGCCCACGTGATCTGGAGGGAGCTCACCCCTGGGAGAGAATACTGGCTTTTACCGCTGGTTTCATAGCCTTGGCAAGTGGATTAAACTACTTTTGCCTGGGATTCCCTTTTCTTGGTGAGCATACGCGAATGTGGAGGCGCAGGTAAGCGTTCCGGTCTGTGTGAAGGCTGGAGGATAGCCTTGCCTGCTGCTCCTCAGGGGCCACTTGCTCCCTACCTTACTTTTCCGTTCGAGACAGGGTCTATCACTGGCATGTGCCCCCCTAGACAGGCCAGGCTGGCTGGCCAGGAAGCCCCAAGGACCCATTCACCTGTTTTTGCCTCCCGTGTGCTTTGCCGTGCCTGCTCTGTGTGGCTTTGTGGAATCAAACTCGGATTCCAACTCTTACAAGGCAAACACTGCTGACAGCGCTTTCCCAGCTCTTCAGAGTCCTTTGCGGTGAAATGGTGTTAAAATGGCATTTAGAGGCCACTTTGAGAGTTAAGTGGTGAACATGTCTAAAACTCTCAGACCAAGGCTGGCAGCAAGGACCAGCTGAAATGATGCCAGTTAGTTCTAACGAACTGTGCCAGGGATTGTGTTTTCTGGACCTTTATAAAGGGGATGGAAATGTCAAACTTGTAGAGTTTCATGTACCACAGTCAACACATACCCCTGACACACGGCAAGCTACCATTCACTATAGGTAGCATTGTGACTGCTACTCCAACTCCTGAACAGCTGCCAAGGCAGACGGGTTCCCTCTAGCACACACGTTTACTAGAGTGAATTAGCCTGAGCCATTCCGCAGCTCTTAATGAGATTGGTGTTACTTGAGGCCGATTCCCCTTATCAGCAGCGCTGTGAACTGCACAGCTCACAACGCTTAATTTCCCTCCACGAAGTCAATCCTTTAATCCCGATTCAGCCTGGCTGGGATTCTGTCTGGCTCTGTACTGGATTGGGGGCAGGCATTCTCTGGCTGCGCTGGACCAGCACAAAGCAACTCTGAACAAGCCAAGATGCTGGGGAATAGTGGGACCACTTCCCGGCTCAGCCATCATAGTGGTTTTCTTTTCCAGCTGCCACATACAGACTCACGCCTAATTGTAGCTCCCCCCAGCTGGTGGAAACAGGGGAAGCCCAGGAGAGAAAGAGAGACAGAGACGAGAGACAGAGAAAGAGAGACAGATGGAAGGAGGCATGAGTATGAATTACTGTGGGAGGCTGGGCTGTGAGATCAGGAACCAGGCTTGGTACCCAAAGAGAGGGACCATGGCTACCACCACTCCAGAGCTGTCAGTTGCCCTCGAGGGCGTGTCTACATGCTTTGAACCATTTCTGGCTGATCACGGAGTCAATGGGAGATGGGAAACACCCGGAAGTGGGGCCAAGACACCAGGCAACAGGAGTCTGTGTGTCCTCGCTTCAGAGATGGGGACAGTTTACCACCTGAGGTCTCACAGCACCTGGGGAGCAGAACTAGAATCCCAGAATCCTGATCACCACTCACAGCTCAACAGTGTTTTCAGAGTGATTTATAAGCACAGGGAGGCCCCCAAGACACCATGAATTAGTGCCTCATGCAGAGCACACCCCATGAAGTGAGTGGATGGAGGGTGGAGTAACATCACATTTTCTAGTGCAAGATGGAGTCTGACTCTGTGTACTGGTTTGAATAAGGATGGCGCCCACAGGCTTATATATTGAATGCTTGGTCCTCAGGGAGTAGCACCACCTGAGACAGATTAGGAGGTGTGACTTTGTCAGGGTAGCTGTGGCCTTGTGGGACAAAGTGAGTCACTGGGGGGGGGGGGAGGGCTTTGAGGTTTCAAAAGCCAAAGTCAGGGTTAGTGCCTCTCTCCTCCTGCTGCCTGTGGATATGGGTGCTGAGCTCTCAGCCAGCTCACCAGCGCCATCCCTGGTGACACTGGACTAAACCTCTGAAACTCTAAGCAAGGCCCCAGTGAAATGTTTTCTTTTATAAGGGTTGCCTAGGTCATGGTGTCCCTTCACCACAAAAGAACTAAGATGGTACCAGGAACTGGGGTATTGTTAAGACAGGCCTGGCCATATTGCTTGTGGGTGGAATGTTGATTTTGGGATTTTTGGATTAGGAAATCAGTTGAAGGCTTTGAGTGGGGCTTAATGGGCCATATTAGTAGACGCACAGAAGACAGTTCTAAGAGTGACATGAACTCTAGGGCCCAGCTCAAGAAGTTTCTGAGGGGAAGAATATTAGTAAATGGCCTAGAGATAATTTTTGTGATATTCTGGCAAAGAATGTGAGTACTTTTTGTTCTTATTTGAAAAATCTGCTTGAGTGTAAATTGACTGTGTCATGTATTTATTTATTTTTTATTTTTTGAGACAGGGTTTTTCTGTATTGTTTTGGAGCCTATCCTGGAACTCGCTCTGTAGACCAGGCTGGCCTGGAACTCACAGAGATCTGCCTGCCTCTGCTTCCCAAGTGCTGGGATTAAAGGCATTCACCAACGCCTGGCTGTCATGTATTTATTAGTGGCCAGTCTTGTCCAGATCTACAAGGACACTGAGCAAGGAAAAATACAAATTATAGAGTTTGAGGAGAAAAGGAGTATTGGGAAATGTAATAGAGTGAAGTCCTGTGCTCAAGAACAAAAAAAAAAAAAAAAAAGAAAAGAAAAGCTTGAAGCTAAATGGGATAAAGAGAGTGGTGACCTCAGGGCAAGACCCCATCCAGCTAAGCTTCCAACGTGTAAAAAGGAATTAAAGAAAAGATTAAGCAGTGAAGGAAATCATCAGCAACAGAAAGCTAGAGCAGGTGTAACTGAACACGGTGCCAAGCTCCAACCCCAGCAAGCATAGAACCTGGCAGCGCTGGCCACGTGGCTCTGGCTTTAGAGCTAAGGATAGAAGAAAGGGGTTGTGGTATCTCCCTAAAAACCTTTCTCGTGGCTAAGGAAATCTGCTGAGGCCAGGCACGTGCCAGGGGTGTCTGTGAATGGAGGTCCACAGAGGCCATTGTGTGAAACTGTGAAGGTGAAGACTGGATTGTGCTGGAAACCCCAAGATGTTGGAGATGCCAGAGTCATGAGATTCCCGCCAAGGAGAGCTGCAGACTGGGTGTGGAACCAGTCCAAGAAAGAGGAATGCGTTGCAGTCAGCAAAGCTGGCAGGACTTGGAGATCTGAAGAGCATGCTGACATCAGACATGATGAAGGGGAATGTGAAGTCTGCTCAGCTGAGCTCCAGTCTTGCTTTGGTCCAGTATTTCCTCACTCCCTTCCTCCCTTTTGGAATGGTAAAGAATATTCTGTGCCATTGTATGTTGGAAGCATGTCATCTGCTTTTTGATTTTGGCTTTTGCAGGGGATTACAGTTAAGAGACTGTCATAAATCTTACAAGACACTTAGAACTTTGGAGTTTCAAACAGTGTTGAGACTGTGATAGACTATGGGCTTTTGAGGTTGGATTGAATGCCATTTCTGCATTAGGATATAGCTACCAGTCTATGAAGGCCAGGGAGTGGAATGTGGAGGGCCTGTGAGGCGCAGTAGCCCAGTGTCTTAGGTCCAGAAGCCTGCGGACAGTCTCAGCATCCTCTGGGCTAGTTCCTTCAAGGGCTCCTGTTTGAGCACTGGGGCTTCGAACAGGCAGAAGTCAGTGAGTGCACTGCCTGGGGAAGGCCCAAGCCCAGTGTACCCCATTGCTGGCCTCTCTACCAACAAACACTGCCCATGCTGACCTAGAACCACATTCAATGCCCATTTCCAGGTCTCTTCCTGGCCAGCAACCTCTGGGAAGCTCTTCTTCCAGCACCCCCCGCACCCCATCCTGAGCCTGAGCTGAGATCCCAGAGCTCAGAGCAGCCAGTGACGAAGGACCAGCTGTCTGGGGCTCAGAGGGTGGGTGCCCAGGAAGTGACAGCATTGCTGTGTGTGCTCTGGGCGGGCTCTGCTGGCCGCTCCCATTTGTGTGTTTGGGGGTCCCTCTTGGCCTTACCTGCGTGTGACTGCATGTGCTCCAGGAGGTTGCTGTAGAACTGGAACTGGATGCCACAGGCGCCGCATGTGTAGGGCTCTGGGGAAGACAGGTGACATGTGACGGGTGACTCGTACCCAGGTATCCTGACACTGGGCTGCAGGAGGTTTTGAAGGTGGGGATCCAGATGTAGACTTGGGGCGCTGGGCCCTGCCTGCCCACTGGCCTGTCACTGGCCTGGAGAGGGCAATGCTGGGGAGAGGCAGAAGCCCGCAGAAGGGAAGAGAGCAGACACAGGCTGCCCGTCAATGGGCCTGCTCTTCACCGAGCTCACTTCAGGCCAGGCGCTGCTCGGCGTGCTCGGCAAGGGCAACACCCAGGCTCCAGAGCTCCCGGGAAACACACTGTCCCTTGGGGTCTACAGCTTAGCTCTCTGCCTGTGGGGCCACACAGGGGTCTCTGCTCATAGAGGGGACAAATGAACAAGGAAACTCACAATGGGAGGCGAAGAAAGCAGGGTGGGAAAGAGGAAGAGACGGGACAATGCACAGTGTGGGGGTGACTGGAGAGGGGCAGGAGGGCGGGCAGAGGGGCACAGGCTGCACCTGCACCAGCTCTGGGTGGCCAGGGCTCCCGCCAGCACCTGGCAAAGAGGGAGGACGAAGGGAAAAAAACATTGTTAGGTAGAAGGGGAGGGACAGAGGGAGGGAGGCGGCTTGGAGGAGGGGTCCTGAGGCTGTCTGGATAGCCAGGAGCAGTAAACTCGGCTTCCTTCCTGTGTGCTCAGGGTTCCAGTCTACCTGTCCACACCTCTCCACCCTCCTGGCCCCTCTGCAGCCTCCCAAGGCTGGTGCTGGGTGTTCCCCGGAGGGTGGCCCAAGGCCCGTCTAAGAGAGGCCAGCAGTGCTCATTCCCTGCCCTGCCTAGCCCTATTCAGCCCCCAGCAGGACCAACACGTACTCTGCAGGAGAGGGAAGGGATTGGAAACCAGAGGGCTTGCAGTTTCTGCAAAAGAGAAACAGTTCAGCTAACGTTTGGTTTTCCAGTCCTGGAGCTGTGAGGTTGTCACACTTGCTGAGGCAGGGGCCGCTCTCAGTAGGCACACAATCTGTGTGGGAAGGCGGGTGAGAGGGTGCCAGCAGAGCGAGGACACTCAAGGAGAAGGCAGGTATCACGTGGTGTGCGAGGGCCATTCGCTTAGGGTGCTCTCACAGTGAGGCTGTGCCCGTAAGTGGCCACACACTTGGCGGCAGCATGTTGGAAGCTGTTTCCGGGTTCTGACCCTAGGATGCCTGCGCTTGGTACCAAAGCACGGGAGTGGCCCTGGCAGAGTGTCTGCTTCAAACCCCATGCCTCCTGGCATTGCCAGAGGGTGAGCGTGACAAGCCCGCATCGTAGCAGGCAGCCAAGTGAAGTGCAGGCGAGCGTGGGGGTCCTGGCTCCACCTACAGTGGGGGGGACCTGGGGCTACAATGGACATATCCCGAGCCTCAGTTTCCTCATCCAGAAAGTAGAACTAAAAGGAACACAGGATGGTGGGATAGGTGAAAACAGACACGACACACAAAGCTCCGAACGCATGCCAGCCACGTTGTAAGCGCTCAATAAACGGTGGCTACCAGTAGCAGCAGCAGCCCACGCAGTGCCGCTCCCAAGCAAATGTTAGCCTTGGCGGCAGGAGAGCTGCAAGGGGTATGTCATGGCGTGGCTGGGAGCCCAAGCCATGCCAGGAGGACTTGGTTCTAGTTCCAGACTGCCACTCAATCCTCTGTGGCCTCGGACGGGTCATGGCATCCCTCCTGGATTAACCCCTTAGAGGGGCTCCAAGGATCACAGTGGCACCCCTGCATTGGTACTTGTGCTGATTGCTTGGTTTACATCAAAGCAAAGCAAGGTAAACAAATCTAAAAGCAACATGCCCTCCTCTCCTGCCTGTGATCTTTGGGGCTGTCTGTGCTCCTTAAGCACTTACAGCCAAGAAGGAATAGGGGCTCATCTAGGGCACACACAGCAGGCAGTGGAGCTAAATTCAAGCCTGGGTTCCAGGGAGGTTGCGTCTATTACTAGGCTGAAGCCTCCACCTGGTGTTTGTGCTCCGAACCACTTGCTGAAGCCTATGGTGGCCAAGATGCACCCCTTACCTGTGCACATCAGGCAGTGCTGGCATGGGGGCATTCACTTGGGCCTAGTATTCAGGGAAGTCAATGGCAGAAGGCCTTCCCGTCCTGTCCTGGCCATCACTGTGCATACCAGCTTGCTGTCCCTTTCTCAGACAGAGTGCTGGTGACCACCCACAATCCCGCCAAGGGTAAACCCTGGAGTTCAAAGCTATCCGTCCTGCAGGCCCCAAGGTGCCACTAGGATCCAGAACAAGGCAGCCACCAGGTGGCAGCAAACACTACCGGGAGTGCTCATGCAAAGCCATAGCACTGCAGAGACTAGAAGAGCATCGTTTGGTTCTGTGGCTCCAGGTCCAGTGTGGGACCAGAACCTGGGACCTCTGGCTTCTGTAAATCATCTTTCTACGGCACCCTGCTTGCATCTCCTTTAAAGAAACCTGCTACAGCATTACTTTTAACTTAGCAACTGGCACTCTTGGGGCTACCCAATCTGGGTTGGGTGAATTGATGCCTGAATCTGGGACTGAGGAAGTTCCCCTCTCCTGTGCAAGGGACACAGGCCCCTCTGCTCTTCACAGGCCCCGCTGTCTCTTGATTTCACGACTCGGCTCTCATGTATCAAAAGACCCCAGGCAGAGGTGCCCACAGTACAGGCCATACCCGTGATGTCACATCACAGGCGCACTCACCGCTGGAATTCTGTGAGTTGCTATTGGTCTCTTCAAAGTGGTTCTGTGCTTTGCCTTCCACTCGCCGGCTGAAGGTGCTTTCTGTTGGGTGGGTAGAGATGGAGAGGGACAGGGAGAGAGGGGGGGGGATATGACACAGGGAGGGGTCAGCTTGTCTGTCAGGTCAGAATGAGCAGGAGGCTCCTGGAACTGGGAGAATCCAAGAACCCTGCTGCTCCCCGAGCCACCTGGTCCCAAGAAACTCTCTAGGTAGTGTCTGAGAGGGTTAGGGATGGAGGGGGAAGGAGTGACCGGCCTAAGGACATGCCCATGAAATGCAGCCAATGAGAAGAGAGCAAACAGGTCAAGGGCCCCACATTTTACTCCACATTTACGCGCGCGCACACACACACACACACACACACACACACACACGACAAGGACGAAGGGGGTAGTTTCATACTTTTCATACTTGCTCAGGAAAGGCCCAAATCTAGGTGAGGAGGGTTGGACTCATGCATGGGAGGGACAGTGCTCGACTCCTTGTGAACCATGTCTCCCACCTGCCCAAAAGCTCACCGTCTCCCAGACTCTCTCTGGAAACCCCATCATACAGACATGGGTTTGGCCAAGCAGAACTATAGTTATGGCCCCATCCACAGAAGATAATACAGCCTTTGCCCAGTGCTCCAGGTACTACAAGGCATGGTTGGTCCAGGGGATGAGGGTCTCGGGAAAGTCAATGAGATACCCAGTCAGCCCTGTTCCGTTAAACAGTTTGGGTGAGGCTACTCAAGGCTCAGAGAAACTGACTAGGATGTGAGCCACTGAACTTTAATTAATGTATCCTCCAAAACACGGTGGGGAGAGGGCTTCTAGCAGAGCTCCATTTTAAAGATTGGATCCTGCAATATCCTTCCAAGTGGTGTTTCTGGGAAGTCACTTGGAGAAACACCACTCACCAGGTCCACCCTGCCCAACTAAGAGCTGGGTGACGGTGCTCTGGGTCGCAGGTGACGTGGGTGATGGATGCAACGGCAGCCGGAGGCAACTCGGTTCTTTTGCCATCACCTCAAAGTCTCCCATAGCCTGCAGAGGCTGCTGGCATTAGGACCACGCCCTCTCTGTGTCCATAACAGCCTGGGTTGATGCTCCAGAGAGCATGTGAACTGGCAGAGGCCCATTCATTCTCTCTCTACAGAGGGCGAGGGGCTCTCACTCTTGAGCACCTACTGTATACCAGACAATAGGTCGGAACTTCGCCATCATGGTCTCCTTTACTCCTCCCAACACCATGAGGCTGTGCAGTACAGCCCATTGAACAGACAGACAAACCGAGGCTAGCGGCTCTGTCCACCAAGAGCACGTGAGGCTTGACTGGAGGCAGGCGCTTCCCTTGTGAGAAGGAAGAGAGGCCCTTCTCTACCGTGGCTTGTGTTCACAGGAGCACAGGCAAGGAGGCAGGACCCTTGCTCTGACTAGCACATGGGTTAGACTCAGTGCAACTCAGGTCACCAGCTCCTGTAATAAGTCCCTCATTGCTCGACTTCCCTGGTGCAAGGGAGCTGCTTAGAAACCAGTGTGTGGTATTTCACGTGTCACATGCACACAAACAGCCATATTCTCCTGGACCACGGCAGTGACAGTCTCCACCTGGCATCTCCACAGACCCTGCCACTTCCTGTCCCAGTCTGCCGCCCTCAGACTTGACCAGACAAGATCCACCACAGGGCTTCCGAGTCTGGTAGAGGCAGCCGCTGATGCGCCCATGGCTTGCTGGACACTTGCCTGAAGATAATGACATTCAGTGAGTGTCAAACGCCAGTCCCCACAGGCAATTCTGAACAAGAGCTCAGGGCCTTTGAAAACCCAGCCACACCGGGCGTTGGTGCCGCACACCTTTAACCCCAGCACTTGGGAGGCAGAGACAGGTGGATCTCTGTGAGTTCGAGGTCAGCCTGGTCTACAGAGCGAGTTCCAGGACAGCCTCCAAAGCTACACAGAGAAACCCTGTCTCCTCAAAAAACAAAACAAAACAAAAACAAAGAAACCAAAAACCCAAACTAAGCCACAAAGCCCAAGAGGAGGCCAAAGCAGAGAGCCATGATGGTTCCATCTGGTGAGTCCGTGTCTGCCTCTGAGAGCATCATCACTGTCAGGCTTTCTCCCTTTCCAGGCGCTGAGGACTGAACCCAAGCATGCCCCCCACATCACTGTCACTGACCTACCTCCCCAACCCTGTTTCCTTACTTTAAGACATGCCTAACTAAGTTGCCCAGTCTGGCCTTGAACCCACTCATAGCCCACTCAGGGCTTGAACTTTTGACCCTCCTGACTGGAGTCAAAAAACACAACTGTTACAACATGGTACTTGAAAATCCCACACTTCAAGGTTGGCTGACTCCCCTCCTTTTGGGAGATCAAGCACATTAAACAAAAGACCACAGCTTGGCCCAAATTAACTCGTAAACCACGAGAAAGGCAGGCACCACTAATTACCTAGCCAGCTCACCAGTTCTCAAACGGCACCAGTGGCTCACCTATCTGACCTTTCAATGCGATCACTCGGTTTAGTGGATCGTTTCGGCCTCCTGAAGGCCACTGAAAGGCCACAGCACCAGAAAGTCTAGCATCATCTGTGTAGGTGGCTCAAGGCTTTCCTCAGGCAAATCCGAGACCCAGGATCCCTGGTAACTGGTACCTAGCACATAGTAGGTCTTATAATCTGGAGGAAATGACTGGGGACTTCACTGCTTAGTCACCTTCTAGAGCCAGGGCTCCTTTTAGCATGAGCCTGGAACTTCTGGACTGACATCCTCTGGTTTCCTGCTGGGTCTCTATCTACAGGAGGGTTTCATGGGGAGGGGACTCTAGGAAGTGGGAGGCCAGGGAGACAGAGCTCCAGTCAGCTACCCTACTTGATGGAGCAGCCTGAGATAGTTTTCTGAAAGGCGAACATGCAAGCTCACGCCAAGGGGTCCAGACAGAATAAACAGGGCTAGACAGTCACAGACAGCAGAGTGATCACAAAGGTAAGTGAGCCTGCCCTGGGGCCATTGCGGCAGGGGTGGGGCAGGGAGCGGTGGGGACTGCAGAACAGGGGAAGTGCACAGACACCAACTGTGAAGGAGGCACCCACCATTCCCTGCAGGAACATAGCCTAGGCCAGTGAGACATCTCAGCACAGCCAGAAACCCCGAGTTCCTACATACACTCTTCTCATGTTCAAACACTTCAAGTTACTCTTTAATATCTTTAATAGAAAGCTTTTAAACTTCATAAAGGCCAAATAAAACAGACCCCCTTAGGCCATGATTTGGGGAAAAATAAACTACTTTAAAAATGTTCATAAAATTTGTTGTTTAACCCTGCAATTGAGGTCCATAACTTGGTCTGCCAGGTTCACAGGTGTCGAGAGGCCATGGGCCCTAATCTGTACCAAAGCATGATGGGACCTCCAGTCTTGTTCCTGCAGGGGAACAGCTGTGGCAGATGATGGGCAGGGAGCCAGGGAGGCACGGGTAGGAAACAGAGGCCATCCGTACCTGCAGTTGCCTTGCTTGCTGGAGATCCGGAGTTTGGAGTTCGGAACGTCTGAGTTTGGGTAGCTGGAGGGGTTCGGTGTAAGAGGGTGGTGCATCGGACCACGGAGGCTGGAGCTTTTTTCCCGGACTGGTTCGTCTGGGTCTTCGTTGCCACGAAGCGTGGAGACGGGGTGACCTCTGGATGGGAACACTCAGAACCCGTGTCTGGATCTTCCGGTGGCTCCCACCCAGGGGCGGTACCTGAGAGGGTCATGCTCTCAGTCTCTGAGGGCCTTCACAGCCTGCCAAGTGACTGGCCTCTCAGGCCACCCGTCCCAGAATGCCCGCTGTGACACACCCACGACCAACCTGCCCTCACTCTATGGAGAGTAAGGGCTCACGCTCTTACCCACAGCCTGAGAACCTTTCAAAGTTGTTTTCTTTTCACTTTAAGGAAACCTGACCTCCGGTTCATGCTCAGAGCTAGCTGCTGGTGCCATGGCTTCTGTGTAGTTTCTGAGTGTCTACATCCTTAGGCTTAGGGCTTCTGGACTATGACTTCAAACCCAACTATATTTTCCTAGAATGTTGGTTTCTTGGCCCTTTTCCTTCATGGGAGTCTGGCTCACACTCGGTGATAACAGGCAGACAGGCAGCATGGGCTGGGGTTGAGTGGTGGAGTAGGGAAGGGACTGGGGTTGGGAACTGTTGTCCTTAGGAGACTCAGGCCCGTCACAGTCACTGTCCCCCGTGAGGCTTGGGAAGTCCTCTACAGAGCTAGACTTCTCAGGCGATGTCCTCCTCTGGTGGTCCTGGGTGCCCTGAGCCTGGTCCTAACCCGCCCCACTGAGAAGAGCAGCAGACAAGGCTGCTTCCTGAGACCATGTAATGTCTACAGCTATGTCCCTTGAAGGAAAGAAGGGGAGCTGGCAGAGAGGGGAGGGATCCTGACGCCCTACCTGTGCTTAGGGCTTGCGGTCATTGCTCTAAGCCAATTTGGTTTTCTGGCTCTGTGAGGCTGGTGGGGCATTGATAGAATACTGCTCTCAGGGCCGTGTCCATCCTGGGACATATCAGAGGCTGAGATGAAGGGCTTTGAGCCGTTGTCAGCGCTGAGGCAGAAGTTACGGTCCAAGGAATCCAGGCCCCATGCGAACCGTGGCTCCCTTTCACGAGGAGCTTAGCACAGCTCAGAGATGCTTGCCTTTTACAGGGCTGCCCGTGCCAGGGGAACGGGAGTCATTCTGTGGCAGCCCTAATGAGCTCCAGACTGAGGAGGTCCCGGGGCCTCAGTCTGAGAAAGCCCAGGGAGCTGTCACAGGCAAAGGACACCTCAATGTTTTCTTTCTCTCCCTTCTCCCTTCCTCACTTGAGTCAAACAGGAAGGAAGGCTTATCTGATAGCCCCCCCCCCCCCGTTATCCCAGAATAACCCAGCACATTGAACACCATGCTGCTATCTGGGTCCACCCCTGACTGCTCCACTGTCTCTCTGTGGGAGGGCAGTTTAGGAGCCATAGCTAGTGGCCTTTACTGAGGCTGGAGAAGTCAGCTCATGGTGGAAGCACAGCTCCATGACTTCTGGCCTCAACAGTCCTGGATTCTGTACTATACAGGGAATAGTTCCCCTTCCGACCTGTAATGAGGCAGGATGACCCTGACTGGGCAGCCCCCTGGGGATTCAGTGAGACACCCAGAAGCCAGAGACAGAGAGAGACCCTGAAGTAACTGTTCCTCACATTGCCTACTTAGTGACAGGCAATCTAAGCCCAGGAGCTCCAAGGGGACAGCCAGCAAGAAGGTTCTCGGTGGGACAGGACCTGAGGCCAGCCAGAAGCTCAACAAGACCTGTGAGTATCCCCTCCATGCACCATGAGACACTCGCCCATACGTCCAGAGCCCTGGCACAAGGACAGAGTCCATGAGCTGCCCGGCCACCTGCTTTCCTGAGAGACCCACCTGTCATGGCAGAACCACTTCTGGGGACTGTTTTGCAGTTGATTCCTGCTGTGAAAACCCTAGCATTCCTTACAGCAGGGACCTCAGGGACCTATGAAGCACTTGATCTAATAAGCCATCGTGTTTGCTCCTGCTGCCCTGCCAGACTCTGCCCAGGCCCCTCACCTCCCCACTTTCTCAACTCCTCCACTACCTGTTCTCCTCCAAACGCAAGGCCGTTGTCCAAGCTGCTTCCTTTCATCCCCTGACACTTTGACTGTTGGGCCTATGTGCTTACGTGCTGCACTGACAGCGTGTCCTTAGGGAGCCCTCCTCAAGAAGGACTTTCTTGACCATCTGATCACCTCTTCCTTTCCAGGAACTGACTGCCATCAATGCCGATCGCTGTGACCTTTGATGGCTCTGCTTTGGAAGGCCCGAGAGGTCCAGTTTGTCTCCCTATCTTCATGCATTGAGTGTAGAGCTCATCACAGGGAGTGACCAGGAAGAATCACGCCATCCGCGAATGAATGCACAGAATAGCCGCAAGAGCGAAACTTGGAATGCGGAAGCAGAGGGCCTTAGAGTCAGGAAGCTCAACACGAGAGGCTGTCACAGAGCCACGAGGCGATCCTTACCCTCCCACTGCCCCAACGCATAAAGCACACGGGGCCACGGAGGTCAGTTCACCACCTCAGGGTCACTCAGTGGGTTGGTCCCGAGCATGGATGGATCCCATCAGTCCACTCCATATGGTGACCTCACACGGAACACCATCAGGCTGGAGCTCCTGCCTGCCTGGGCTTGTCCCGGGAATGAGCATCTCCGACAGGCTGGCTACTTTCCATTGCAAGAAACACACATAAGATTTTTATACGCCACACGCCTAAAAAATGACAGGGCGCCAAGTCTCTCGTGCAGGAAGACAAAAAGTCAACAAGAGAAAAGCAAGAGGCGAGAGAGGCATGGGCTGTCTCTAAACTTAAGAAGCGGAGCTAAAGTCTGGGAATCTTGTGCTCCAACCCCGAGAGTGGGAACAAGTAGAAACCTTCATGGAGTCTCGTCCTGGAAAGAGAACTTCTGGCTATGATGCAGTGACTGGGACAGGACTGGTGTCTCTGATGAAGCTAGACAAAGAAACCACAGCGTGTAGACCCCATCAGCAGATGGAGTGATTCACAGAGTCGACCTGGTGAGTCCCAGCTCAATCCAAAATCTCTACTGGAGATAGTCAGCTCAGAGGACAGAGCAGGGCCCAATGGCACACCCACTCACTGAACCTGAACCAGAGGACAGGGGTCAAGATCAGGAGGCTGGACACCACAGGGCAGAATAAAAGAAGAGATACTTGAGCCAAGAAAGAATTCCAGAAATGTGCAGTAGGGCCTCCTTAAAGGCTTCGGCTGACTACTTCTAAATCATTTGTCTGCACTGAGAAAGCAATTATTTGTGTGTAGGTGTTCATTTGTGCGTGCATGCATGTGTGTGTGCGCGTGAGTGTGTGTGTGTGTGTGTGTGTGTGTGTGTGTGTGTGATGTGGATGAGGACTCAGAGGTCACACAAGGTTAGGAGATCTTTGGGACTTTGGCAGAGTTCCAGAAATGCCATGCCCTGGAGAGCTACCACAATGCTGAGTAAGAGCTACTCCTGTTGCTCTAACCTAGCTTAGAAACAAGACTCTGAAGCATTAAGTTGATCTATAAGGAAATTAATTGCCTTCCAGAACAAAGGCAATGCTTTCAAAGGAAGAAAACACAACCTAGTCAAGTCCACAACATGCCATCTACAATGAGCAGCACAAAACAATTACTTATGAGAGGAACCAGGAAAATGTAGTTAAAAATGAAAATGAAAACCATTCAGAAGAAACACAGAAAGAAATATGATGAGATAAAGACCTTAAAGCCATTATTATAAGTGCGTCAAAAGAAGACCAGGAATATAACTGCGAACAAGGAAAGCTATAAAAAAGAATTTGCAGAAATTAGACAGTACAGGAGAAAAGATTAAAGAATTTGAGAGCAGGGCAAACCGAAGCACAGAGGAATACTTAGGCCGAAAAACTAAACACAGACTGAACCTACTATAAGCACCACAGATATCGAATGCACGTGCAATTAAAGTCCTAGGAGAGGAAAAAGAAATTAACAAAGGAAAATAATCTCTTGGTCAAAGGTTATGAATCTCAGCAAAAGTCAGATTAGTTGCCAGTTAGTACTTAAAAGGCTTCAGAGGGCTAGAAAGACAACTCAGTGGCTATGGTCTAAATTCATGACAGACTATAACACATCAAAGATGTGTACCATCAACCACAAAGTGAAAATAAGTTAATAGCAGAATATCCATGGAATAAATTTAAAAATACTTCATTAGTACTATAGCAGGCAAGAAAATAAGAGTGAAAATGAACAATATGAACAAATAGAAAAATATATAGTGCCAAATGAAATCCAATCATATCAACATGCTACATTAAATGTAAATGGATTAAATTTCAATTAAAAATAAATTGTTTATTTATTGTACCACAACTGTATGTTCTTTTTTTTTTTAAATTAGGGTTTCTCTATGAAGCCCTGGCTGGTCTGGAACTCACAGAGAACCTTGGGACTTTGCCTCCTGAGTGCTGGGATTAAAGTCATGTACCATCATGCCTGACTTATATGTTCCATTTTAATTTGAAGCTTAAAATAAAAGCTTTGAACATTCTAAAGAGGAGGAGTACAGATTTGATACAGTGAATGAATGAATCTAACAGCAGACATCCAAAGAAACTAGTCAAAACTGGATGCATCTTAAAGAGGAATGGAAAAACCCAGACTGGGAAGTGAGGACTTTGAGGCTTTTGGCTTTAGTATCTGCTAAGGCAAACCAATTTATTTTTAAAGTCAAGGAAGGACACACAGACTTGAAAATTATCAGCTAACTTAACCTGACACTTCAAAACATATACCAAACTTACTCATAATTAACTAATTAATTTTGGTCAAGTGAACACGAAACGTGGCAAAGAGAGGCCATGTAGATCATAAAACAAAACTCAATAAATTCCAAAGATTATAATCATAATATATATTTAACCATAACAGAATTAAATTAAAAATAAATTCAATTTTAAATAATTAATTTATTAATATATGGAAGGGGAACACATTTTTCTCTATGATGTTTCCTATGATGAAATTACCAGGTTTGACAACATAAGTGTTGTATTTCTATAAAATTATTTATAGAAAGCAATTCCAACTCTATATAAATTCTTCAGAAAATGGAAGAGAAAGGAATTTTCTTTGGAGCTGCTTCTATGAAACAGGATTTTTCTGA